CAATAGTGATCTTATCTGATGTACAAGGCAAGAGAGGCGTTCTTAAGGACAAGGAAAATGACATCCCTCTGAAATATGACAGACAATCTATCCGATGACATCGGAAGTATCGGGGACATGATGGGTAACAAAAGTCGCGGCTTCCCTTAGGTGTCATACAGCTTGTCCGCGGTTATATATCCCCCGGAGTACGAGGTCGCCATTCCTTTGTTCGTTGCCGTCATTCAGAATAAAATCAGGTCAGAGATTTTTCGCCGGGGAGAGCATAAGTCAGGTTTAACCGCCCCCGGAGGCAACTGAGTGTGGCAGTCGGGCACGCGTCTTTGCGCGCCCGCCAGGCCGTGCCGGGGCTGGCCGGCTTACGCGGAGGCTCGGCCGCTGCCGCTCGCGTTGCTCGCCGACGCTGCGGCTGCTGACATTGCAGAGGCGGCTGCTCCGTCTGAGCCGAGCGCGGTGCGGAGGGGGCGGCCCTGCCGGCCGGGAGAGGGGGGGCGCGGGGCGGAGCCGCGGGCTTGCCTGCGCCGAGCCTCCCCGCCCCGCCACTCTCCCGCCGCCCGTCTCCCGCGGCGACACGCACTCAGCCGCTGGGGGGAGACAGCGGCGCGCCGGGCCGGCGGGCTGTGGGCTGCGGGGTCTGGGCGCCCGAGGCCAGCCTGCTGGCAGAAGCCTGGGCGCGGGTGGGGACTAGCAGGAGAAGGGGCATGTGAGCGCGCGAATGGGATTGTCTCAGACTTCGGTCCTCCCGCCCTTACCGGGCTCGCTGCGCCCCGCGGCCGGAGCCTCTGATCTCACTTAACCTCGTTAGAACAATCCGAAGGGGAAGCGGCGTGGGGCAGCATGGAAAGCAGCCTGATTACTAATTCCCTTGGACCAGATGGAGCCCGATGTCTCGCACAGCCGTCCTGAGCCGGCAGGGACCGGGACTAGGGGATCAGTGGCAGGACGCTTCCATAATGACTGATCAAAGAATCGTGACGGGAGAGAAAGGGGTGGGAATCCCGATCCCGCTCGCCCCATTAGGTCCCAAACCTCTTGAAGTCCCTAGAGCAGTGGTTCTCAACCTTCCTAATGCCGCGACCCTTTAATACAGTTCCTCATGTTGTGGTGACCCCCAACCATAAAATTATTTTCGTTGCTACTTCATAACTGTAATTTTGCTACAGTTATGAATCGTAATGTAAATATCTGATATGCAGGATGTATTTTCATTGTTACAAATTGAACATAATTAAAGCGTAGTGATTAATCACAAAAACAATATGTAATTAATATGTGTTTTCCGATGGTCTTAGGCGACCCCTGTGAAAGGGTCCTTCGATCCCCAAAGGGGTCGCGACCCACAGGTTGAGAACCGCTGCCCTAGAGTTAACCTTAAAGGGTTAATGTAATGCGAATTAAGCCTCTGCCTCAGCAGACTCCTGCGTTCTGAAAAGGGGTCCCCAGGGGAGGGGACAGCCAAACACTGTTTTTTGACTCCTTTCCGAAAGGATGCGGGGAATCGCGTCCAACATTAGCGCCTGTGGGTGCTCAGCGCGGGGGACAGGACCCTCTGCGAACTCCAGAGTCCTGGGTATCCATGGCTGACCATCTGCGGGAGAGGAGGGGAGCCTCCTTCAGCCTGGACGCTTTCCTTCCTCCCCTCCTTTTCTGTCTTTAACCCTTGAAACTTATTTTTATCTGTGAAAATTTCGGATAAAATGCATGGTCAGAGCCTCAGGAGCTGGAACAACCTGGGAACTGGTGAAGCGTCAATGTTTGCAGGAAGCGCGCTGCCATGCATGGTCTAGTATGGTCAAGCCCCGCGATGGTGAGAGGCAGAGATGACCTATGAAATATAGGAAAACATTACCCCATAAAGCTGAATGGCTCAGGACTCTAACTTCACTACTGTTCCTGGTTAGAGTTCAATTTGGGGAGCCTCGAAGTTGATCAGCCGCGTGTGTTCATTCTGATGCCACCATGATTTTTTAAAACCGCTTTTATCGTTTTCACTTTTCCAAATTATTAAAAAATTCCACTATGAAAAATAACTCTTTAGGCCACTGTGGACGGACACTAGTAAGGGTCTGGGGTTTGGTTTTCTGGGGTTGTCTACCAGATGTCAGCAGAATCCTCACAAGCTGTGCCAAGGGAGCAGGAGGTGCCTGCACCCTGGCTTGCTGTTCCCTGGAAAGGTGACTATACACAAAGATGCATTTCTGCGGAGGCTGTTTTCTCGTGGGTGGAACTGGGCAGAGCAGTGGCCCAGGTAAGACCAGGGATTGGTGATGGAATATCAGCTGCTGCCGCCTGAAGTTCTATTTGACTGGGTCTCTATGCTTTTTGGGGGGCTCTGCTTTATCTAGTTCTGATTTTAAAGATAGGTTGAGAAGGAAAATGACAACTTTTATCTGTGAAAATTTCACATAAAATGCATGTTCAGAGCCTCAGAAGCTGTAACAACCTCAGAACTGGTGAAGCTTCAATGTTTGCAGGAAGCCCGCTACCAATGCATGGTCTAGACCAGTGGTCGGCAAACTCATTAGTCAACAGAGCCAAATATCAACAGTACAATGATTGAAATTTCTTTTGAGAGCCAAATTTTTTAGGTAGGTACATTGTTATTAACTTAATTAGGGTACTCCTAAGGTGTAGGAAGAGCCACACTCAAGGAGCCAAAGAGCTGCATGTGGCTCGCGAGCCGCAGTTTGCCGACCACTGGTCTAGACTGGTCAAGCCCTGTGATAGTGAGAGGCAGAGATCACCTATGAAATATAGTCTGTCACTTAAGCACTGTGAGTTCCTTTAATGTGGAGGGAGAAAGGATATGAAAAGGTCCCATTTTATTGGTGAAGAAACTGAGTTTTGAAGAGGCTCAGTCGCTGACCCAGCTCAGCCCTGTGCTTCCAACTACAGCCTGGTCCTTGTGCCTCCAGGCCCTGTGCTGAGGTTGGCCAGCTGCCTCAAACAGCACACTGCATTACCAGGTCTATGCCCCGAAAGCCTCCGCAGGTGTAGTGCTCATTGTCACAGAACCAGCTGGCCTTGGGTGAGGCGCAGGGATGTGATCTGGTGTGGTTTGGGAAAGATTTAACTGAAATCCGAAGGAGCTGTCTGTAAGGCCTTTATTTTCAAGTGAAATTATTACTAGGGTGCTAATAAAATTTATTGCCTGAATGCAATAAATTTGAGAGTGAAAGGATCACAATTAGTACTGATGCTAGGACAAGAGGCCAAAACAGGACTGACCGACATGAGATGGTGGTCATCTTACTTATTATCTACCTATCACAGCATCTCTCCTCAGCTCTGGAAGGTCTAAAGCCATGTCAGTTAAAAATTGGGAACGACCTAAAGTTACAACTAGAGGGTAAGTGTTAAGTAAATTATACCTACTCCACTTGAGGATATATTATACAGCAGTAACTTTATAGTAATAAAATTATATAGCAAGTGAAAATATTTATGATTTACATAATAATGTTAAGTGAGAAGGCAGAGTGCAAAATTATATTCACACTGTAGCTGCAACTACATAAAACTATGTGTAGGAAAAAAGACTAGAAGGAAAAAGAATTAAATGGTATAAACAATGATATTAGTACAGGTAAGTAGTCTCATCTTACCCCCTCCACAGTCCTCTAGTTCAGCAATTTTCAACCAGTGTGCTGTGGCAGGCACAATGGGGTGCCACAAAAAATTTTAAAACATGCAATGCCTGACTATAGGGGCACTGACCTCTTTTCCCGTAGATTGTCAAATAATAACATGACAATAGCCAATACAGTAGCCGCCTGGTGTGAATGAGTAAAAATTATACCTATTTTTTTGTCAGATCAGAAAAAAAAATATTTTTTGGTATGCCGCAGAATTTTAGTAAATGGTTTATGTGTCCCATAAGATGAAAAAGATGAAAAATTGATGCCCTAGTCCCGTGGTCGGCAAACCACGGCTCGAGAGCCACATGCAGCTCTTTGGCCCCTTGAGTGTGGCTCTTCCACAAAATACCGACTTCTGCGCATGGGCCACGAAGTTTCAATCGCACTGACGTGCACGCCTGCACGTGGTATTTTGTGGAAGAGCCACACTCAAGGGCCCAAAGAGCCGCATGTGGCTCGCGAGCCGCGGTTTGCCGAGCCTCAGTTTGCAGACCACTGCCCTAGTCCATTCATCCGAACCTTTACTTCAGTGATGAGAAGGCCTGTGTGGTTCTTTTTTTAAAATAAATCTTTATTGTTCAGATTATTACAGTTGTCCCCCCCCCCCGCCCATAGCTCCCCTTCACTCGGTTCCCACACCACCCTAACCCTAACAATGATTGCTGCGAGCACCTCTAAGAGTAAGCTTCCCTCACGTTCCTGTCCCAATGCCAGACAGTCCAGTTTCTCCCCGTATGTGTCTGGTCCCCCAGCGTCTGGCCCATAGAGTCTGGAGT